CCGTCTGTGCCGTGGACGTGTCCGCCAGGCTCCCGGCTCCCCAGGAGGTGGGCTGCCGTGCTCCCTGCTGTCTTCGCGGAGAGGTCATAAGCAGGGGGCAGACTTCTGAAACGCGGACCCAGGAGTTGCCGAGGTTGGGCTAAGGCCTTCTCGTTTAGTGGCAGGTGCCCGCCGGGGGGACCCTCCCCTCCGGGAACTCGTGGCAGGGGGTCCAGAGCTTTCACCACGTGTCTCCTTTGAAACAGGAGGACCACGACACTATGGAAGCTGACCTGGACAAAGACGAACTGATCCAGCCCCAGCTCGGCGAACTCTCGGGAGAGAAGCTTCTGACCACGGAGTACCTGGGAGTGAGTACCGCGTGAAGCGGGTGGGGCCTGGAATGCAACGCGGAGCTGGACCGTTGATGGTTATTTGCAATAACACGTAGGGTTCGGCGTGTCTGTTATGATACTTTGTTTATGAGAAGTCCCGTATCAGCCAGTTTGCTTCCAGTAGGCCTGAAATGCACGGTGGCCCTAGCCACCTGTTACCAATAGACCTGCTGGTGAACAGAAGAGGGATTAGAATATAACTAAAAGGCACACGCCAGGGACCTTCATAAACCTGGTCTGCCCAGCCTTCCCGGGCATCACCTCCCCGTCCAGCTTCTGAATCTCCGTGTGCCTTATCCATTAGAAGGGAGACTGCGGTGGATTTGGGGGTCATCAGCGCGTGGGTCATGGCCGAAACCATCAGAGCAGATGACGTTGCCCACTGAAGCAGAGGGCGAAGGAGAGAGTGGGGGGCTGAGCACAGAGGGCGGAACCAGCATGTCGGGAGAGGGAGAAAGAAGAGGGGTCCCCAAGGACAGAAGATGAACAGCCAGAGAGGCTTGAGGAGAAGAGGGCTCAGCGCCACGGAAAGCAGAAGGGAGGATGTTCAAGCATCCGAGAGCCCTGCGGGGCCACACGTCTGTGATGGGGTCAAAATCAGAATTCTGCGAGCCACTGGTTACCGCCCACCTGCAGGAGACGGAAGGGTGAGCCAGGAGGGAGCTGCCAGTCGGCAGGAGAGGATGCCTTTGGCTCCAGTGGCGCATGCAGGGGCTGTAAGCTCACATCTTCGTGATTGCTTGTGCCAAATGGTGGAACCTGCCAGAAATAGAAGACATTTCACTGGAGAATAGGTGCCCCAGATCATGACTCATGCCTCCCATTCTACTGTATTATACTAGGCAGATTGTAGATTCTTCAAGAACAGTCCAAAGATGTTGACTTTTTGAAACACTGTATCAGAAAATTAAAGTCAAGTTTTTTTTTGAATGGATGTCATCTGCCTAAGACACAGCAGGATGCTGAAAAAGTTGAAGATGTGGCTGCTGCCTTCAAGGAGTTCACACAAGAAGACAGCAGATAAAATGCTGTTGACAAGGGATGTGAATAACGGCAGGGAGTGATCAGAGGGTCGGCAGGTGTTGTCCTGTGACATCAGAGCTGGCCCAGGGTTTCCCAGAGTCCCAGACCACCAAATGTGGGTTACAAATAGTCTAGGCCCTGCCCCAGACCTCCTTCCCATAATCTCAGGGGTCGGTTATTGTGTACACCCGTGATCGAAAAACTGCTAGCTCGGGGTGAGAGCGGAGGTCCGCAGTGGGGCGGGGGAGGCCCCTCCAGGGTGCTCGGGGTGCTCAGGGATGGGAGGAGGCCAGCCCCAGGATTCCCGGACCCCGGAGCTTGCGCCTGCTGGGCATTTGCAGCAAAGCCACACTGCAGAGCCAGGCCATAAAAATGCCGAGGACCAGAGGGACCTCAGGAAGCTTGGGACGAGAGAACAAGTCACTTCTCTTCGGCGCGCATGAGCGTGTCAACACTTAGGTCAAAGGCACTGCTTCCTCATAATTCCGGTGCCAAGCGGCATGCCATGTTTCTTCAGCCTCTGGTCATCAGCAGATCAAGACGGGCGATCTTGATATGTTCTCCTTGCTTGGTCGTTTCTGAATTTTTAAATGTCATCCATGCTGTGCTGAATAATCGTTTAATTCTTCCTAAAAAGAATGCCCTGATTGAAGTGTCTTCATCGCGTTAGTCAAAAGGGTGTAGCTATTTAATCATAGTTTTTTGTTTTAATCTCGGTTTTTTGTTTTAAAGCTTAAATTTATTTTCGGGTATCTTGAACAGTGGCAAAAGGCATGACTTGAGTTCCGCACTTGTCATGGACAAGCCCTGTGCTGGCTTCTTCACATGTCTGAGTCCATTTAACCGAATCCTCCCCCCAAACTGTGGGTAAATGCTGTGACTATTGCATTTCGTGGAAGAGGAAGCAAACGGCAGGGGATCCTGCCTTATCAGTAAGGAAGGGAAATCTGGGTTTTGTGGGACCTCCAGTTTGTGGGGTTTGGGAGGCATTCTTCAAAATAAAGGAATACAAAGTTAGGTATAAAAGTGAATACTTGATTTTGAATGAGACCGAGAAAACAAAGCACAGTCAAATTCAAATTTTAATAACTGGCAGATACCACAAACAGAAAATAATGGTTTTGTAAACGAGCCGCTCAGCACACTTTGTAGATTTTTTTTCACATATTTTTTTGTCCTTCGATGGTCTTTACATATATGATGAGTTTGTAGTTTTTCTATGCAGACAGAAAAGAAAAGAAGTCAGTCCTTCCTGTAACGTATTTGATCAGATTTTCTTCTTATTGACAGATTAGAAATTTCCTTTCAGCCTCCCATTTAGTTTTTGGTAACGTAGAAAGAAGCCGCAGAAGGGAAGTAGGAAGAAACAGCAGCATTAGGTGATTACACTTCAAATAGCCTCCTCTCTACATAACCACGTGAACACATCGCCAGGGCCCCTTCTGGGCCTCGAAGCTTTAGTTTCATGAGCCCCGAGGTGGTTCTGCCTTCGTGCGTCCACCCTTCATTCACAGGAGCCTCATGATCATGAGATGAAGGCTGCAGCTCCCGGCACGAATTCATGATGAAGTCGGGAGGAGAGCAGAGATGCAGGCCAGCCAGCGCCATGTCCTCCACAGTGCTTTTCCCAGAGCTCCATCTCAGGACCCTCGCTTACTTTTCACTGGTCAGAACATGGCTCCTAGCTGCAAGGGTGTCTGGGAAAGTGAGTATTTTAAAGTAGACACATATCATACCAACAAAATCAGAGTATTATTGGTCAAGAAAGAGAGTGAATATTGGGTAGACAGCCAGCAGTGTCTGCTTCAGCTTTCAGGTACACGCGCGCGCACACACACACACACACACACACACACACACACACACAGAATAACCTGAAAGCTGAATAACCAGACACTGCTGTAATATTCATACTGTTTTATAACGTCATAATTTCTTTCAGTGATTTACTAATACTAAGAAACTAGGGAATGGGAAACATTTTTTACCTAAATTGACATGTGTTGACCATCTTTTACTACCAGATAGATTACATTCAGCTAAATCATGTGCTGCATTTTTTAAATTGCTGTTAAATACGCTGCATTTTTTTAGTAGCAGAACCTTCTTTCAAACAAAATCTCCATCTGTAACAGAGATAAGAGCCGAGTCTCTGGATGAGTAAGGTGGATGCCAGGGACCCTTTCTCCTCTTTCTCCTGAAGCATTTCTACGGAACTCAGTTTAGACAGCAAGTCGTCGGACCAGATACTGTTTAAGAACTTTCCAGCCTAGAAAAGCTCTTTTGCAACTGAGGCCCCAGAGACCCCATGGGCCACACCGTGGCTCACCCTGTGAGGGCAGCAGGTTGTAAGGTGGACAGGAAACGCCCTCTGGAAAGTGGCTGCTCTGAGACGCTGGGCCTGCCACGGGCCACTTGCCACGGGCCACCTGCCGCGGGCCACGCGCAGAGCCCTTCGCATTTACCCCTGTTCACCAAGGACCTTTCCCCAGGCATCTGATAACAGACCACGTCATTCTGGCTCATGGGCCAGACTCAGTTTCTTCACCCATTGAAGGGGACACATACCTCCCACATTAAGTTATTTCCTAAGCCTGTGCAGTTTTAAGGAAATGGTGTGGCTGACTGGGGTTTCCTGAAGGCTGGAACACTCAAATACAAGTGATAACGTTTTTCTCCAAGAAGGGGGTAGGGGGGGCGGGGACGTCGCACTCGGAAGGACAGTGGACAAGTGGGGATGAGGAGGCAGAGCGCTAGCAACAGACTTGAAAGAACCCACATATGCACTTTCTCCCTTTTTTCAGTAGCTTAAGACTCAGCCTCCTCGGCCCTCTGCGAAAAGACCCAAGTGTTCTGGCGGGCGCAAGGAGGGGGAGCAGAAGGCACCAGCGGCCCTCAAGTGGCACTGAAAATTGGACTTAAGGGCCTGCTCTGGAGATGAGGGTGGACGTGTAGATTTGGCCCTACGTGCTAGATGGGACCGTGTGCCAGAAGGGAAGGCAGAGGAGAAGCAGACAGCACTATGCAGTGATTGCAGTTTGAACAGCGTCTTTTGCAAATACCACGAACTATGTATGTAAAGGGAGATGGACCTGTGTTCTCGCGTGGAAAGCTCATGCCCCATTTCCTCCAAGAGGGTAGAGCCCTCCCTCCCACCTCTGTCACCTCCTGTCTTCTTCCCTTCACGCTCCCACCCCGCTAAGCCGTGCAGGTTGGGCCCAGCCCGCCCACTCCCGTCAGCACAGGTCAGGCCTCTGATCTTTCCCGCAGGAAACTGGTCCTTTCTTCCTTCTCCAGCCCTCAGAAGCACCCAGAGCCAGTCATTCTTGGTTCTATTACCCTCTGTAGCTACCGTAACCATTTTAGTGTCTCACTAGATCTTCCCACTCTTTATATGTCCTTTTAGCATAATCGAAAGCATCATTTATGTTTAGGATTATCACCTGACTTATACTTAATGTTTTAAGTAAACGGTTTTTTTTTTTGAAACTAGTCTTTATCATCGTAAATGGCTCTATAATATTTCAGATGAATATGCTATGTTTTACTTCATTATCCCCCTATTACTAGACAATTAGGTTGTTCTACTTTTACTCTATAATTTTGTAACAAGCAACTTTATTTAACATTTTTCATATTTTGGATTCTTTCACTAGGATTGACACCCAAGGATATGAACATTTTTGCCACTTGATATAAAATGCCAATTACTTTCCAAAAGAGCTACCTGAAATTTGCATGCCACTCATGTTTTGAACCACAGCCAGCAGTGGATGAGATCATTTCTTTAACTGTCACTTATTTAATAATCGAAGAATGATTCCTTTTTGGTAAAATTGTAGTTTCTAATTACCTGTGTTGAGCAAACTCAAAAAGAGTCAGCAGTCTTTGGCTAGAAATAAATGAGAACGATTTTCTCAAGGGTCTTAGGGTTTGCAAACCAGAAACACAACTAGACGATACGCAGAGTGTTCCAAAGAAGAAAGAAACGCTGAGGGTTTTCACCAGAAAAAGTACATTCTTGAGAAGACTCAATCCTGCATTGTTAGCCTTGGGATTGGTCCGAGATGTAATCCTCTGAACAACCGGTGGTCTGGATACTGGATGTCGGGTGGTCTGGCTACATGAACATTCTCCCTCAGTCCTTCAGAGGGTAATTGGGGTTATCTGGAGATCTGATGCAGATCCAGGCATTGCCGCAGGACTGGGAAGTTCAAACGTTTAAGTTCCCAGGCTAGTTAAAACAAGAATAGAATCTTTTCCTCAGGCCTCAGCCTTCTTGATTTTAGTGATTTAGCAGCTTGGCTCTAAATAAATAAAATGGAGCACTAGCAACAGTCTTTCAAGTCTGTTGCTAGTGCTCCATTTTATTTATTCACTCTATCCCTCACTTATAGGATTGATAATTTTTTCTATTTTCCGGTAATACTTTTTATTTTGTGACTTGGCTGTTTGAATTCTTTGCTCAATTATCTATTTAGTGTTTTACTTACCGAGTTATAAGAACACCTTATGTAATAAAAATGTTAACCTCCGATCTGTTAAATTTGCTGCGAATATTTCTTCTCTGTTGTTTACCTGTTGATTTGGCTTATCTTTAATTCACTATGTACGTGGAAATGTTAATCATGAAACCAAATCTGTTTGTCTTTTCCCCATCTCACTTTCAAAAGCTGGTCCTCTCTGGAGATGTGATGTTGCTGTACTCAACTATTCTCGTCTCTTTTTCCCACGGTTTGATTTCTTTTTTGAATTTATAATGCTAAGTGGTATAATATGAGAACCTAAAGGGATCTCCCTCAAAAATTCTGTGTAACTGAATCATCCACGTCCTGATCCTTCCACATTTATTAGCAAAGGCTCTTACTCCATAGATTCATTTTTTAAATGCGGTCAGCTCTCTGGGAGATGACTTCTGCATCTCGTTTCCTCTTTCCTGCCACCAGATCATGACCAACACGGGCAAGACGAGGCGGAAGGGGCCGGGCAGCGTGCAGTGGAGTGGCGCCGAGCCCCTGCGCCGGCCTGTCACCCCTGGCGGCCACAGGAATGGGTACCCAGTGTAAGTTCGGGCTAAAGGAGGCTGGGATTTATTTTCTTAAGCTTAATTCACTGCAGTGTAAGGTGTACGTATTTAAATTTTCAGAATAAAGTGTTCATATTGAAAAGCATTTATCGTTTTATTGTTTATCTTTAGGGGATTTTTGAAGGTAGGTTGAGTCTCCCACTGCTCCCCAGGTTTCTTCTTCCATAATTTCAAAAGAAAGGACCAGAAGGGATGGTGGGTCTACCCAGAAAGGACTCTCATTTTCTCTTTTCTGCAGCGTCTCCCGGAGCAGCAGGCTCTTTGTTGGGATGGAGTCTCACAGGTGAAGACATCAAATCAACTTAGTTTAGATGAATTTTTAAAACAACTGTAAGCATTTTTAGTTGCCAAGCCTTATTCATTCTTCGTAGCCTTTTGCCCCGTTTACATAAATATAACTTTAGTCGGCTCCTCTGGCCTCCCTGGGGACCTGGAGGCTGGGCAGGCAGCGTGGGCAGGACAGCAGCCTCTTCATGGTCTGAGCGGCCTCTTCCCCTGTCTAGAGAGAAGGCTGGAGAGAAGCAGATGAGAACGGGGGTGAGAGAGGACGGGCGACAAACCTACGCTGCTTCATTCAACACACGCTGGCCATAAACTAGTTCAAATTATTATGCGGTATTTTCCTTAGTTATCCCCCGTAGCTGGGCAGTTTGGTTGTTTCCAGTTTTACTCTACGGTGATGTGCAATGAACGGCCAGGTGCAGGGGATACAGCAGCAAACAAATCACAGAAGCGCCTGCCCTGGGGTGCTCCCTGCGCAGATGCCGGGGATGTGGGAGCCCCCAGCACCCAGATCTTGCTGAGTTCTGTCGCCCACCTTTTCAAGGTCCATGCCATGGGTCGGTGCTCTGAGATGTTTGATTTGATTTCAAAACTAGTCATCATATACTTCATATTTCAAGGTTTTATTCTTAATTCCTAATGTACAAACTAATGTCATGCCTTTTTTTCTTAAACCTACAACCGGCATTTTTCAACCTACAGGAAAGTCAAAAGAATATTACAATGAAGAGCTTCCAACTGTTAACATTTTGCTGCCTTTGCACGCTTGCACACTCACTCACGCTTGCACACTCGCTCACTCGCACACTCGTTCACTCACACACGCTTGCACACTCACTCGCTCACTCACGCTCGCACGCTCACGCTCGCACGCTCACACTCGCGCTCACACACTCACGCACACGCTTGCACACTCACTCGCACACATGCACACTCGCTCACTCGCACACACGCTTGCACACTCGCTCACACTCTCGCTTCCTATGCGCCTCGTATGTAATTTACCCACATGTTGATAATTCTTTTGCTGAACTGTTTGAAAACAGATTGCAGATTTTCAGCATATATCTAAGAATAGGAACATCCTGTATTTAACCACATTCGCACACCTAAGAAAGTTAACAATTTAATAATACGTAGTATATTAATATTCACAAATTGTCCCCAAAATGTCACTTATATCCAAGGGATTTTGGGAAGGTTTTTTTGATCCAGACTATAGCCAACTGTCAACTACTAGTAAATCCAGTTTATAAACATAATATATTTTTTAATGGAAGTAGTAACAGGAACCGATAAAATTCATCTTGTTTGGCATGAGAAAGAAGATACCAAGTCATCATTTAAAAAAAATATTTAAAAATTTTAAAACACTGGCTGCACAGAGGGGCAACGACATAAGGATATCTTAATCAGAGATCAGGATAAAGGGAATCTAATAAATACAAGATCTAACCAGTGGCCACGGTTAGTTCTTTAGTCAGATGTTCCACTTTGTAGAAGAAGACGTTTTTTCATGACTGGGGAACACGTGTGGCTGCCCCCTAATTTGTGGAAATGGTCTCTCATCTATCTGTAACAAGGGACCTTCCCACTCTGACAAGGCATTTACCTCGTACCATCTCCCTCCAGTCCAAAAGCGTGTATGTCGCTGTGTGCCACGCGGTGTGCTGATCGTGAGGGGTGCAGAAATTGTCGAGATGGGACTCCTGCCCTCAAGCACACAGGGCGAGCGCCCAGTGGGGGAGGGCGACAGTGGGTGCGATGCGGTAAGTGGCTGATGGCGGAGTCCAGGGTGGCAGAAAGTGAACTTTCAGGGTTGTGAGGTCAGCCTCTTTAAGGAGTCCACATGACTCGGTGCACCACCACCCTCCTCCTGGAACCCAGTGTTGCCAGGACTGTCGATAAATCGAGAACCTCAGTGATCTTGGGGACACCCTGACAATATGCACTACGCACATTCAAGACACTAGTGCTTTTGGAGTCAGAAATCTCACTTCTAGGATTTTCTACTGAGAAGAAATCAGAATTTCACAGACATATAGACAAAGGTATTTATTACCACGTTATTTATAAAATGAGAAATTCCCAAAGTAGGATTCTGATTACCTAAATATATATCCACATAAAACAGTATTGAAAATGATGTTTTAGGAAAATATCGAGTGTATAGAAAGAGCCTCACGATGTGTCGCTAAGTGAAAAGCAAATTATAAATTAGTGTGGACCTAGCCTGCTGGCCACTTACAAGGATCCCAAGTTGTGCGTGTGTGCGTGCGTGTGTGTGTATTTAGTATATTCATTTTTTAAAAAGATACCAAATGTTAATACTGGTGTGTCTAGGTACTGGAGGGCAGGACAGTCTATGTTCTATGTACTTTTCTAACTTTTCATGATAAACACTGGTTTTATAGTCAAGAAAGAAAGGTTGAAAATAAAAACAGTGGTCCCCATGCAGCAGGACCTCCCTCACCCCCACACCAGATGTGTGCCTCCCCTTCCGCTGCCGACCTGTCCTCCCGTCCGAGCCTCACTCCTCCTCACCCCTCCGTGGACTCCAGACCCCCGCTCCTCCCTCCTCCCTCCTCCCTCCCTGTCGCTTCACGCCCCTTCTTTCCGGGGGCCTGGGCTCCCGTGACTCCCCACCGCCCTGGCCTTCGGCCCGCTCCGGCTGCTTCCCTGGCTACTTCCAGCATCTCAGCATCTCAGCATCTCTCTCGGCTGCCACTTCGCTCACCCTGCTGGTGGCTGTCCCACCTCCACGTCCGCTGCCACAGTGGGCCGGTCCCTCGACTCACCCCTCTCCCCCCTGGTGCCGTGTTCTGCGGGCCCTGTGTAAGGTCCCGTCCCAGCCTGCTTGTTCTCTGGGCTCCATTACACGCTGCTGACACCCACGTCTCTAGCTACAGCCCAGACTTGCCCCGCAAGCACTGGATGTGTCTCCACAGCACCCCTAGTCCAGAGCTTCCTAGATGACCGCCACTGTCCTCTGAGCCCCTGCTTCAGGGAATGGCGTTTACCCCAAACTCGCGAGCCAGAATCCCACCCCGTGGACCGCCGAGCCCGGTCCTCCCCACCTGCTCTCCTACCTTGCCCTTCTGTCCGCCTCTCCGAGCCCGGCCCGGGAGAGCTGCCTACGTCTCCCTGCCACGGTCCACCCTCCACGGCTGTAGCCAGAGTGATCCTTCCCCCACGTCATGGTATGTCATTTCTGTGACTCTTATTATCCTTAGGGATGAAATCCAATCAAACCCTGCCCTTGGGGTCCTTCCAGTTGACCCCTTCCGGGGTCCTTCCAGTTGACCCCTTCCTGCAACCTCAGTTCTGGAAGCTTCTCAGGACACCCTGTACCCTCCGGCCTGCATTTTTCTGTGGCGCCTTAAATCTTGCTGTAACAATGCAGCATAAGTAATGTTTTGTTTTGCTTCTTCACCTTGCTCATGGTGTTACCTCTGCAGGGACATTTTACCTCTTTGGGCCCCAGGCGAGCCCCAGGTCAGAGTTCAGGACTGGCTGAGAGACACACCACAGACAGACACCCGCACAAAGACACACGCACACCCAGCGTTTCCTGCCCCTTCAGGCGGTTAGGTGTCAGCTTGTCTTGGCTACTGGAACTGACGTTCAAGAACGACCATTCCGTAGGTCCCAATCCCAGGAAGGGTGCCATACGCTTGCCATGGCGCGTCCCCCGCCAAGTCCTTGCTAGAGCAAGTGACTGGTGTCCACGTGACGGGAGAGCCTTCTGGATCTTTTGCGAAGGCTGACCAGGGAAGCAGCCTGCCTGCCTCTCTGGGATGTGCTCGCCCAGGCCGCGTCCCTCACGCCTGACCCGGGGTCTGGCACGACGAGACACCCAGTACATGTCTGCTGGATGCATGAATCTCTCTCTCCACCCGCCGTCTCCACCGAGCCGGGTGCCCACGTGAGGCAATGCGTCCACCATTTAGGCAGGATTGTAGAAAACGAGCTCTTCCCCAGTCCTGTTCCTGCTTCACACCCCAGGTCTTCTCTGGCTGGATTCATCCCTTCGCTAATCGGCTCCATCCTTGGGGTTAAAATCGGAAGATGGGTGCCTTAACTCGTTTGCTTGCAATGTCATGCTCCCATGTCACTCAGAGCCATGAGATGGAATGGTGTCTTCGATGCGAAGCCACGTGTCACTGTAAATTTATAAGAGCTAACAGAGAGAAGTAAGGGTACTTCTAGTTTCTGCAAATACCCGTAAAAGGTTTCAGATCTGCCGATCTTGGTTTAACAAAAGAATTTCAGGTACTTTCACTTTCTGTATTTGTTTGGTTTGCCACAAGGTAGTCAGCGGTCAAACTTCTCTGGCCATCTGTACTGACTGCTGCTTTTCATTTCCTCCCAGCCTGGAAGACCATCCCGTTTCTCCCCAGACGGCCCGACGTGCAGGAAACAGCTGCGGCCCGTCCCTGCCCCATGCCCACCTTTCAGGCTGCAAGCGGGGCGAGCCTGGCGCTTCTGAGCCTTGCGCCCCGTCTTCCTGTAGGAGCAGCAGCAGCAGCGTGCGGGGCAGCTCCTGGTCTGCTGATGCCTAGAATCCAGAAAGGCCTGGCTCCCACCTGCTCGGGGGGAAACCCCTGAGCTCGGCCACTGCCCCGCGACCTGGAGCCGCCGCCCCCCGACCCTGACGCGGCCAGACCTGACCCCTGCTCGCAGAGCTCCGAGTCCACTGCTCACGTCTGCAAGCTCTTTGGGCAAGATTTCTGACTGGGCAAAGCCATGTTTCCTGTGAGATTTCAGAGTAGGAATCTCAAAACGATTTAGATCTGTGACCACGGTTTGGTACCCGGCCCTCGGTGCTGAGGGGGGCCGGCCGCTTGTCAGGTGTGCAACGAGGAGCAGAAACTACTGTGGGGGTCTTTTCCAAACGCATTTTGAAGCATCTCATTGACTTCACGAGAGACCGATGGGGGATGAAAGTATTTTTCGGATGCCAGAAAAAATATGTATGCCTTGCATCAGAAATGTACAAAGTGGTTTTTTTTTTTTTTTTTTTTTTTTAATTTTCAAGAGGAAATTAAAAGGATATGAGCAGGCCAGATAAGACTCTAATCTCCATTCAAATAGGAAAAATAACAGAGGAGCAGGTCAGATGGCCGTATGAAAAACATCTGAGAACTTCACCGTCCGCTCACAATTGGATCCAAAAGCACCTAAACCCGGTTGGGAGCATCAGGCCTGTCGGTCACAGAGCGGGAGGAAAGCCAGGCTGCTCGGGACTCGGGGGGAGGGTGACTCGATGGGGAGCAGTTTTAGGGGTTCTGCCGACTTCGATCGTCTGTTATTTCACACGTGTCTTGTTGGACATTAACACTCGTTCACCGAAAGGTGATTAGTTCAACGTATGCAAAGCTGTCTGCTGCCAGGCAGAGGGTTTAGGTGGTCTCTCGGTTCTTGCCAGTTTGACCAAATGCCATTGAGTTAACACATGGTTTCAAGTTCTGTAGGCCTGGACCTCCCAAGAGTTGCATTTAGGGCAACTTCCGTGACATCCTAGTTTAACCAAAATGACCACCAGGGCGGCCCTCTGTCTTGCACCGATTTTAAGGATGAGCCTGTCTTTCGGGAAGATTGATCATGCTCTTCTCTGCCAGGTGGAGGCTTTCGAAGGGTCATGGATAGAGAGGGCTGAGCAGCCGCCGATGTTCTTGCTGGCGATGTCGACGTTATTTTCAAGAACGAGCGATTTTAGCCCCGACGAAGTCAAGGCCCTGCCGGACTCTGGGTCCTCAAACGTAGATAGTGGGCACCCAGCAGGGACGCAGCCTGATGGCCACCAGCAGTTCCCAGTGCCTGTCATGGGGGTGGTGGCAGCTGCTCAGTGGCCCCTCCAGGGGGGCGACCTGGGCCAGAGCAGCTGCTCTTCCCACGTCGTATTGTTGGTGCACCCCCTTGGCCTGCTCTGAACGCTGAGACCATATCCTGTGTCCCGTCCGCCTGCCTGCTCCTGTCTGCTCAGGCCTGGCTGGGACCCAAGACACCTCCGCTGCCCATCGACCCCCTCCCTCCCCAGCCCTCTGCAGAACACTAACCACCAGCCCGCCCTCACTCCACCTGCTAGAGACCGGGCAGATAACCTCTCTCCCTGCACCCTGCCAGGCCGGCCGTCAGCCTCAGGTCAGCCCCTTAGTTCTCCCTTAAAATCCTTTTACTTAACAGAAGGTCTCCCCCTGGAGAAGCCAAGGCCCCGGGTTAACGGCTTGTCTAGGTCACTTCATGAGCATCGATCCCACTTCTGGTGTAGACTCTGTTCTTCCTTCTACCCTCTTTCAGCCACCCCAGGACCGATGGCCCTGGGCCAGCGTCGGCTCCCCCGGCTGCTGGCTCCGCCGCCGTCTCCCCCTCTTCTTACGCAGCCTCTGCGTGAGGATGGGCAGCAAACGGGCCTCGGCCCGGGTGCTTGGAATGCTGTGTGGAGACTGGTTCTGAGGCCGCGTCTGGGCTCAGCCGACATTAGTGCCGTGGCTCGTGAGCAAGGAGAGGCGGAGGGCAGCGGCGGGCCGGGCGGCCATCCCGATCTTCACTGTCTTCTCCCGGGCAGGAGCCTGGTCTGACTTTTCTTGACCCTTCCGCCCGTGCGGTGCTGCTTCCTCAGGCCTCTCCTCCACTCCCATGCTCCTGCTCACCTTGCCCCCCCATTTCATCCTGACCCCACCCTGTGCTCCCCACGGGTTCCCTCACACCCCCAGGGCTTGCTGCTGAGTCTGGCTTTCTGGCCTTCACTCGGGCTGGGGGTCGGCGCCTCACCTCGAGACCCCGTGGGAACCCAGCACCGTGACCCGCACAGCACGTTTATTCAGGAGGCCACCTCCACACCTGTGCATTCAGTCAACACTAAGGGTAAAACTCAGGATGGGAAACCTGTGGGATCTTCAAACTGTCTGGTCAGTTGAAAGCAGAACCAGAAAAGTACATTCTTTTTCAGCACAGGACTCAGCCCCGCGGTGCCAAAAGGAAATCGTTCCCGGGGGGGGGGGAAAGCCAAGAATGTGACTTAGAATTTTGCAAGACGTTGGCCTGAGGAAAGTTATTCTCATTTCCCCATCGATCAAGACTCTCTTGGATATCAAAATCACATGCCTCGTCCGTGGACCTTGGAGTTAAAATGCCCAGCTGTGTCTGAAATGAATTAACAGATCGGAAAAACAGGAGTTTGTCCCAGGAGGCCTCAGGTGCGCACACACGGCTGCCCTCCTCCCAGCTCCTTTCAATGGATCTGGTTTTCTGTGGCGAGATGTCTGAAAGTCTGCAGAGTGGCACAGAGTGGAGGAAGGGTGACTACTGTTTGATGACTAAACCAAGACCTCAGGGCGTCTCAGGAGAGCTCAGCTTAGCGCTTCCTCTCTCATGGGGGGCTGGGATGTGGGGGAGAGGCTTTCCCACCTACCCCCCAACCCCCACCACCTAGGAAAGCCCTGATCCTGGACGACTGCCTATTCCTGTAACACCATGAACTGTAATGGGATTTATGTAATGTAATTCCACTCGGTTATCATTTGGCACACCTAGGCTTTATCTCCTGGCCCTTAGTCTATAAGCCCGTTGAGCAGAGAGCACAGACAAGCTGGCCGTTGAAGAACAGATCAAAGAAGGTTGAAAGTCTAGTTCCAGACTCAGTTCTCAGTGTGGACTCTAAGTACAGCCACCCAGTGGGTTTCATACCAGAAACAGATTCCTCGCGTGGGTCGAAAGAGAATTGTCTGGAAGCCAGAGCTGGGTACCTCGGTACAGGTTTGAGGAAACCTGCAGATAAGAGTCTTTCAGATGAAGCAGAGGCCGCGTTGCGAAGGTACTAGAGAGATTTCGTATGTGAAAGAACTGAGAAGAGCTTGGATTAAAGGAAGCAGCAAAGAATCCAGACTGTGTCACGGTGACAGAGACACCTTTGGCTGCAGAAAGACAAGTGGGGGCAGGGAAGAAGGGATTGGCATCCCCTGAAATACAAAGTAGGCCCGTCCCCAGGCCCCGGGCAGAGCTCCTGGGCAGTGTCATCTGGAACTTCTCGGGTCACTTCTCTGCAAAGATCTCCAGGATGACCCGGTGGCCTGCTCCCTGACCGTGGCGTCAGCTCAAGCGCCGCTAGTTAGGAACTGGGCACTTCCTGCCCCTGTGGGTGGACTGAGGGATTCAGGCCTGACGGCGCCTGGGGCAGCTCGGCATGAAGAGAACCCCACCTCTGGGGTTGCCGGATGTAGCGAATAAAAATCCAAGACACCCCGCTGAATATGAATTTCAAAAACACAACTTTTCAGTGCCATCGTGCTCGTGCGTGGGGGCCGAGCAGTGCCCCAGGGAAACGACTTACACACGCACACGCGCGCGCACACACACACTCACGCACACACACACACACACACACACACCCCGAGAGGCAGAGGCGGGCCAGGCAGAGGCGGGCCACGAGAGGCGACAAGGCTGAGTGTACCTCCCTGTGCGGCGTGAGCTCCAGCCAGAGCATGCCCACTGTGCCCGCAGGTTATAAGTGCCCTACACCAAGTGACTCCCCTACAAGTTCTCAGGCCACACAGGGAAATGGGTCCCCGTCCGTCTGTAAGCCCCTGGGACCTGTCGGGCTGGCTTGCAGTGCACATTCTTCTTGGCTCTGCAGCCCAGCGCAGGAAAGGGCATCTTCGCAGAGGTTCCAGTCCTGAAGTCGACCGAGTTCTCTCTCCCTCTCCCCAGCCTCCGTGGACACCGAGGCGGCAGAGCAGTTGCCAGCCTGACATCAGGGAGAGCCTCGCCTGCTCCCCCCAGGGCCCTGAGCCAGCCGAGGGAGGTGCCCTGGGCCCCGGGCAGTGGAGAGACCACCGGGCAGGGATGGAGCGTCCTGAGAAGGCTCCTCTGAGGCCCAGCCCCTGACGAGGAAGCACAGCAGTATTTTGCCGGGACCAGAGGTGAGGTGTCAACATACCCAGGGGAATGCGGCCACCACATCTGATAACCTCAGAGCCCAAGGGAGGAGACCTGCCCCCTGAGGGTTATCAGTTGTCAGACTAGGAGAGGAAACTCATGCACACGTTCGAGGAACTAGTTTCGAGGACTGTTGCGCGAACGTGTTTGAGGGGACGTGTGACTCGGGATGACTTGAGGACAGCGTCCTATCGTAGTCGTTCGCTTTGGAGCAGATAGGGTGGAGGAGAGAAAGATGGAGGACGAAGTTAGTAGAATGGTTCGGCTCAGAGGTCAGCTCCCTAAAAACAGAAAAGGTTTCTTCTTCCTCGGCACCAAATGCCACAGACTGGCCTTGATGGATCGCTCAGGTCTTTAGGATCTAGAAGGGGCCTTTCCCATGACCTTTCAGATCCGAGGAAACCCGCTCAGGGAGAGAGGCCTGGCCGGTTTCGGACCCGGCCCGCCTCCTGAGCGCTGGGCGCCCCCGCTGCCCCGCCAACTCCTCCTGGCCACACAGTGCCCAGAAGGCAGAGCGTTCAGGACAGAGAAGCCGCTCTCCCGCAGTAAAACACGGGGCTAGCACCGCGCGCAATGTGGCTGACACCCTTGGAGTCCCCGAATCAGAGGGACTGTGCCGTGGGGACTGGCGTGGCCTCCGCGTCCCGCCTTTTTACAGACCAGCGCAGTCTTTCCTGCATGAGCCCCAAGCAAGCCACTGGCTGACGGGCCCAGCCTCAGCTGCGGGGCCTTGGGGAGCTGGGTATGGAGGTGGGAGGGTGACATTCCAGGGCCCGGGCCTGAAGCCACACCCCTACACCCCGACTCCCTGCGGATGTTTTTCCCTCACCGTGTAGAGAGGTCAGAGAAACCAGCTCACTGGCCCTTCCCTTACTTGAGCCTGGCTGATGGGAACCACGCAGAAATAGGAATTCCT